TGAATAGGATAAAAAGTACAAAACAAACGATTGTAGGGTTCTATGCCAATAGGATTTAGAAGAATACCACATCCAATTCATGACAGCACCAATTGAAGGGTTTTCACATAAAATATTAAGATTAATATCCTTAATTATTTTGATAAAAAGACTGTAATCCTGTTCTTCAAGAGTATCAAAAATTAAAAACTTTAGAAAATTTATAAATTTTCCTTCGTTTACATCTGACAGAATTTTTTTGTTTGCTGTTGTAAAATTTGGTAAGGGTACCATTCGAATATCATTGATTTTATCAGAACTGTAGAAATTTAAAGTAAAATTGAATTAATATGTAATAAATAATATCAACATATTTTTAATGTAAATTATTATATTTATACTCAATCTCGATCTCTTGTAAATCCAATTCAGAATTCTGTGGAATCAACTGCGTTATAGGTATAAAAACCTTTAACAAACCATCTAATGCAGCTGAAATTTCAAGAAATTCAAAAGAGAATAAATCCAATTGCTTGCAACCAAAGCAAGGATTATAAAATAACTTTTGGACATAATATTTATAGGATTCTATTTACAGAGGTTAATATTATAAATGATTTATATAATTTGTGTTAATATGATAAGCTTTATAGCAAACTAGTTTTCAAGTTATTTAATCTTGTCACCTTTTTTTTTTCTTTTCTCTTTTTGCTACGCTTATATAATTTAGATATGATGTTTATAACTCTATTTATTAATCCAATTTTATCATCTTTTTCATCCTCCTTCTTTCCACTACTCTTATATAATTCCGGTATGATATCTGCAACTGTATTCATCCATCCAATATTATCATCTGCATGTTTAGTATAGTAATCTAAAAAAAGTGCCAGCATAGTACGATCTTCGGCCAAGTAAAATGTTAATATGGTACATTTGTGTAGGTTTATCCCGTTTCACCAACAGTTATTTCACCGACTTTAACTCTGACCTTAAATCAGGCTAACCTTAACTATAGATTGGGCCATCCTTAAATGTTGGTAAAATGGTTGTCGGGAAACGAGATCTATCGTATTTTCATTTACATGTAGTTCTAAATATACAAACCTGAAAGTGCAGTACGAATAGTATTTTTTCCGCCTGACCAACAAAATTTTTGAGGTACATGAGTCGGTTGTTTAAAATATAAAATATCATTCACAAGTTCATAATCTCCCGTTTCAATAAGAACACTCATTAAATCAAAGCGAATATCTAATAATCTCCAAGCAGTTGGATGCAATCTAATAAATCTCAATATTATTTTGCGTGTTTGTTTAATAATATAACTAAATTTTAACTTTCTATCCTTGTTAAGAAACTGTTCAAGTTTTTTATAAGCAGAGAAGTATTTAAGTGCGTAACAAGCATATTTGGCTACATTCATAAAATCTCCTTCATCTTCCATTTTAATTTCATCTTCAATTTCAATTGGAGGAGGAACTTCATCATTAATTTGAATGCTAAGCTTGAATTTTCCAATGCAATACTTGAAATCTATTACTTTTATCACTTGAAGATCTAATTTTCTTATTTCAAGATCAAAAATATTGTGCAAGTGCGATAAAGGCACATGAATGAATTCAAGAGATCTCTTTTTTTTAAGACCATGATCATACTTGTACCAAACTTGAATTGTATGGCTTCCTATTAAAAGTAGCTTTGTTTTTTCCTCATCAAGATAGAATGAGTACCGTGGACGTCCAGAAAATCCAAAAGACTCTGTTGACCAGGGTTCAATTATCTCATAATTCTTATCTAATTGTTCTAATTTTAATTTTTTATGGGAATTTATATCTAATGTTTCTAATGTTATGTTTTTATAAGAAGCTTGGTTACTTTTTTTCGAATAATATTCATCTAATTTTTTTATTAATTCTTTATCATGAAGATGTAATATGTGATTATATAAATTTTGCATCGTAAAGTATTCTATTGGTAGTTTCTTCCAATCTTGTTTACCATTTTTCTTTAAATATTTCAAATATTTATCTATGATCAGATCATCATAAATAACAAGTTCGCTACCCATATCAACGATTATGGATGAATTTGATCGTTGTACTTTATAAGGATCTCCGAATTTTTTGGCTAATGGAAGTTCCACCGTAAACCCTGGATTATCTAATTTAACAGAATCTCGTAATAAGCCGAAAATATTCCAGACAAACCATTCATCTTTTGAATGATATATGAGTAACATCTCATCAAAAAAATCGATAAATATTTGTCCAAATGCGTCCTTCATATTTATAATTTCTTCAAGCTTCGCTATTTCAATACCACATTCGATCGAATATATTATGATTTCTTTAGTGGATGATGGTACATATGCTAAGAATCTATTATCGTCTGATATCGCGTATGATAAAGTAGAAAGATCTAACAAGGCTGATTCATCAAACTTATGTCTCTTAAAAATATTTACTAATTGGTTTGTTTTTAAATCATAAAGTTCTATGTAATCGATGCCTTCTTTAATAGTATCAACCAAAAAATAATGTTTATGTAAGCAGTTTTCAATATATGCACATATAGAATTATATGCAACATAACATGCTTTATCAAAATCATAATCATCAAAACGCGCATTTATATTATTAATGATTGCGTTGTATATTCTTCTTGGATATTTTAGTTTTTGTAAGTTTTTACCATTAATAGATTTGTCTTTTATATGATACTTGTAGATCCCTGAAAGTGCTAAGATAATAAGGAAATGTTCATCAGCATTTTGACTAGAAAGTAATTCAACTATCCCACCACATTCAATTGATAAATTTTCTTCATCAATATTATTAATTGAATATTCATCGTCAATAATAAAAACAAACGTAAATCCATTGTTTTTGGTTTCTACAAGTTGTATTTCACTAGAACTTTTCTTATAATATTTCATATCTTCAAGGTTAATACAAGATATTACTAATATTCTAAATTCTGGTAGACTAGCTAATTTATCTGATACGGCAACAGACCACCTTAATTTGTTTGTACATTTATTCCTAATTAAATCTTGTTGTTCATCAGTAAATTCAAAGGTCGTATGAATCCTAGAAAGTTTTCTTGACGATGATATCTGGTCATCTGCATCTTTATTATCCAAAATTTCAACAATATAAATTTGTAATTTAAATTCTAATTAAATAAAAATTTTAGAAGTTATTAATAATACAAATAATTTAATTAATTTCAAAATTTAAAGATCACCCTAAAAATTTCTCCAGAATTCCGGGATTCATTATTTTCATCAGTAGTAAAATATACTAATAAAGGTCGACTTGACTAAGCTGGGTCGATTACTCGTACTATGCTCCAAATTTTTTCCGATTTTTCCTATATTCACTCGACTAAGTCGACTTTTAAACAATCAGCTAACTTAGCGACTAAGTCGATTTTATCGATTAGCGCCAATCGACTACAATCACTAAATCAAAGTATTGCATTTATTTTTTGCATTTATTAGGCTCTAACAAAAATATACTATATTAATATAATGCTAATGCTTTGTAATCTAAAACCCGTATCATTAACTGTATAAATCCCGGAGAAAGTTTTAGGGTGGTCTTAAATTATGAAATTATCTGTAAATAGTTATTCTGTAAAAATCTACCGAAATTTTCTTTTGCTATGAATTCAACTACAAAGTCACCTTTCGGACTAATTGCAACATACTTTCTAGTTTCCGCTTCAATTTCAACTTGGACGCTAGGTGATGCTGACATAATATACAATAATCAGATGTTGACGGTTAATTGATGGGTTTGAAATAAGAACTAAGCAAAAATTACATTTTAAATATCTTGTGTGGCTTAAAATGCTTGAAAAAATATTTGTTTATTATGGCTCAAAAAATCAATATTTATATTTTATCACGGTAGTAGCGATTGCTTCGAAATTATGATTTGCTTTAATAGTTCATTACAGCATTAAAGTTAAGATTTGATATGTGATCTTAGATCGAAACACTCCGGTTTATAGATTAACTTAAATAATGATTGGATTTAAATCAAATAAAATAATTAAAAAAATTAAAAATAAAAATAACCATGATAATACAGTTTTCATACTCGAACTTCATCCCTTAACAGAAATTCAAATGACGTGCTGGTTATGGTATGGAAACTTACAGTGCGATTGTATATAAAGATGCATGAGGTTGGGTAAGTTTTAATTAATTCATGATGTCATGTGATCATAATTACATAGTAAAATATACGTGTATGGATACACAACTAAACACTTTATTTAATAAAAATATAATAATAATATGAGAAATAAATAGAAAAAATAAATAAAGATAGAAATATGCAAGAGAAATCTAGCCTATAAGTAAGATTGAAGTCTAAAGTAAACCTAGGTGAAGTTGAGGCTTTATATATAGGAGAAAGATATACAACATATACAACGGATATTAACTATTTTTATCTGATACTAAATATACCTTTAACTATTTAACATTCTTTAGTATGAAACAATAAGAATTATATGGAACCTCGCATTACAATCTTGGTCATGTGAGTCGGATAATAATAACCTAAAAAATTCTGCATAACCCAGGATAATCATATCGCTACACATTGTGATACTTTATGACATGATCCATATCAAAGATGGTTATGTTATTGACACGATCACAAAAGATAGAATTACTTGACCAATTGCTGATAGGTAAAGCCTTTTTGCAAGGCAATGAAAAGCGAGATCTAAAACTGGTGAAGACGTAACCCAAATCGGAAATGATCAAAGACAAAGCCTCATGAAATCCTGATGACTAAAAACTAGCGAAATCTAAAAAAAGCAAAATGCTTAGCTATAATTAATAAGCCATTAATGTGATGACAAAATGAGAACTTGAATTTGTGGCTTTTAAATACAGTACTATCATTATCAAACACAGAAATGAATGTCGCCAAAAGAAACCCGAAAATTTAAATATTACTTATATTTAAATTTTCGGGTTTTCTTTTGGCAACACTCAAATGTTTAATCTTGATCTGCTCTTACAACATATAAAAGTGTTGCCATTCTCTCAGCCCGTTCAAAATAGATTTACTTATTTGTCCAGTAAAACCACTATAATTATCTGGAGAAAAGTCAATGAAAATATTCCCATAAATGATTTCAGTCGAACAATTAAAGGGTTAGAATTTTTGGTAGATCCAATCCTCATTCGTGATATCAAAATTGAGTTTTGATCTGGAAAATTTATTTATATAAACAAAAAAAAATCGTGAACGTGTACAAATCAAATTACTGACAAATATGTCATGAATATTGCATAGCGGGCTTTCATTCTGATTGGTAGATCTTGTGCCATTGCAAAATCTGATCGGCTAATAGAAAATGATTTGAAGTAAAAAAAAAATATATTGTAAGTTTTAATTTATAAAATTAATTTTTAATATATTGATCTTGACTGCCATTGTTAAATGCATATCTGGTTAAATTAATAACAAAAGGCAATATCTTTAAACTTGAATATTTTAATATAAATACCTCTTAGAAGTCCAGTATAATGTTTTACTATAGCGACGGATATAATAGTCGATTAATAACAAATGCCGATTTATGCTAAGTATATGGTTAGTGTGGTGATTTGCAATTACGAAGAGGCAAACGGCTAAATGTATATGAAGATACAAATAGTCGTATAAACAAGTTTATTTATTATACTCAAGTTATTCGTGTTTGAAGACCTATAACTGGGTTATAATTTATTCAAGCGATCTGTGTATGAAGACACGATTACTCTTTAGGGAATATTCAATAAAATATTTGAATTGTTCGTGTATGAAGACACGATTACTCTTTATTTATTGTTGAGTTGTTGGAACTTAGAGTTCTGTTCTTTAAAGAGTAATTTCTAAGTCTATTTATACCTTTTGAACTATCGATCTCTGCTACTATTTTTATAATTTACAAATTTACTAGAACCACTAATTTTAAAAGAAAGCATTAGCACTATTTATGTAATAAGTGCTTTAGAACTACTGGTTCTAACTATATTATTTTAGAGATAGTTAGTGCTAGCTAGCATTACTTAGCACTCTTGACATTAGTGTTACATTTCTGCTTAATATCACATGATGCTAAATTATAGAGTTAACATTTTCTTTTCTAATTTTTGAGCTTTAGCAAAAAACTTTGTAAATAAATAGTACAAAATAAGAAAATAATATTAAAATTTTATAAAGTTTACTACAGGCCAGTGCATAATCATAACCCCTGGGTGGCAAAGTTTACTGTCCATCAGCTAAATTCAAACATATGATTCTACAATGGTTATATGCCTTCACTATTTTACTATAATAAGTATAATTACAAATTTTGTTTGTTGTATAGTTTATAAAGATTAATTTTTAACTATAATTGTCTAATAAAATTAAGAAATTTCATGTGATTCAAATTAAAATTTAAGGAATAAGTTCAATAAATTAATCTAGTTTAAAATTTTTCAAAAGGTTTAGAAAAAATTTTTTAAGATGGTTAACCATTACAAGCATATAAATAAGAAATCATGTAAATCTAAAGAGGAAATTAACAAGAAAGGGTAAAAAATAAAATAAAATAAATAGAATAATAATTAATAATATTATTTTATAATTATAGAGAAGAGTCAAAAAAAGATTAATAAGTTGTTGCACCCCCAAGCGGCAGGACAAGAGTTCAAATCCCACCAGTGATGAAATTCAAATTTAAGGAATGTATTATAGCAGACTGTGTGTAATCTGATGAATCATCAGATCTGTAGCTTTGGTCATACCAGCTTGTACTGGGAGAACATAGAATTATAGTGTGACACAAGAGTTACACAAAACCTAGGTGAAATGTTTGTGTAAATCCAAGGGCTGGGGCACACGGGATCCTGCTTGGCAAGTTCCAAGTAAAGAGATAACACAGATCTTTGACAGTACTACGTAAAGGGTGATTATTGGTAATCAGACACTAATAGTAAACTGGATGAGGACCGGGTGTTTGGCAAGACACTAATACCAACCAGGCTGTGTATATACAGGAGTGGCCCCGTATAGATGAGGAAAAGGATTCAATCAGAATACCAAGGGGACGCCTACTGGTCCCTCTCCAGGCTATCAGAATTGGGAGTTTGGGACACTGTTGATGAAAAAAATCAGTGCTAGTCCGTAAAGTGTATACTGGATTTGGGTGATCTCTACAAGGGCAGAAGTAGATAATAGTAGAGGCTTCGGCTCATAAGTACTTGTTCTTGGACTTGGCGTAAATTACAAAGTTTAGGTTGGCCAGATTGTGGATATAGAAGGCTCTAGCAGGTTTACCTCGAGGATAAAGGATTTGAAAAAGAGTTTTTCTTAAAATTCTAAGTCAGGTATCTGAAAATAAGGTGGTACTAAGTATTCTTGCTCAGTTAGAAGTTAATGTTCATAGGTGCAGAAGGTTTAAATAGGTAATTCGATAGAATTATAAATACAGCAGCTAGTGTAGAACTTAGTAATAGGAAACTACTTAAATAGGCAACCAAAAGTTGCACATGTGGCTAGTTGTACTCTCCAAATATATATATGGTATGGTGTATACTATACTGTAAAAGTTAATAATAACTGAATAAAAGAAAAGCGACCAAGAGATTACCTTAATATCGAAAAAAAAAAAGATTGATAATAATTTTTTGTTATAATTTTATAATAATAATAATATCAATAATATTAAATCTATAATTTATTTTTAGAAAGGTGTGAATTAGTTACTTAGAAGAGAAGTATGCAGATTTGAAGTAAAAAGTTGAAGTTTTTGGAAATAATAAAGATTTGTGGTGATTGAGATATTAGGATGCTAAGTTACAGTATAGAAAGATGATAGATAAATTGTTACAAGAGCAAAGAGAAGCAAAAAAACCAGTTTTGGATAAGAAGAAAAAATGAAAGTAAAAAATTGAAGCTTTTGAACAAGGTGAAAAATAGAAAAGAGTTAAAATAGCATATAGATGAGAACTTTTTAGATAAAAATAAATAAGTTCTTTACAAAATAGTTTAAAATAAAGTTCAAAGTGAAAGAGATAAGATAATAAATAAAAAATAAATTAAAAAAAATTAGAGAAGGAGAATACTAAATAGTACAAGAGAAAACAAGAGTAAGAGAAGAAGTTTGAGTTGAAGAAAGAAAAGCAGTATTGATAAGCAATAGAAATTTTTTTAGATATAAAGTACAAGAAATATTGATATAAGTTTTTTTAAGAAATTAATATTAATATAATATATATTTTAATATACAATAGAAATAAAATAAATAATTAAAAGTGATGATTTTATGACTATATAAGATCTAGAATAAGAAAGATAAATTATAATAAAGTTTTAATAATTATAAAAGAATAAAAATAAGACTAATAGAAATAATAAAGAAGATAACAATAAAAATATTTTTTTAAATATATAGACCAAAAAAAAAACAAAGAAAAGTTGTTTCTAAAAAGAAGAAAGAATTTATAGATTTAGATTTTGAAGTAAAGGAGTGGATAGACTGAAATTAATTGGTTTTGAATAATACTAAGAATGAAAATAGTAGTTATGATATAAATTATAAAAAATTATAGTAGTTTATAAAATTGATTTATCAAATAAAGTTTTATACTCAAAAAAATTTTTTATAAGAAAATAACTAATAAACACCTTAGGTTATGATTTATAATATATAATTTTGTGTAATGTAAACAAATAAATAAACAATTTAATAAATAAAAATATATTTTTTTGGAACTTTAAGGTAAGAGTCAGACCTCATATTAAGGTTAGAGTTTAGTAAAATTTATAGTAAAATTTCACAAGGAATTTTTTTACTTAGAGCTTCAAAAGTGGTTTTATAAGTAAAATTTTAAGATAATTTTACTACAGGTGATAATCACCTGAGGTATTAATTAGCAATTTCCTTTTTATAAATATAAATAAATAAACTATAAAAGAAAATATATAAATTTACTAACAAATCTTTCTTTATTTCAATATTTTTAAATTTTGTTTAATAATATTTATTTACAATAATATTATATAACCACTGTGATTTATATATAAAAAAGAATATTTTTAACCTGTGTTAGTATTTAAAGATAACTAATATTTTGTTAATTTTGTTATATAAGATTCTGTAATCTAATTGGTCAATTATATTAACTTATAATATAGCAATCTGTGATATTTAACAATATTAAACAACTTTATTTTAGATATACAAAAGTATTATCTTAGTAAAAAAAGTTTTCTATATACTAATATTTTAATTTTTAGTTTTCTATATATAATGTTTTTTTACTTAAATAATCTTTTCTGATTTTTTAAACAAAGTTGTTAAACATATAATTTTACATATTTTGTATTTTCTGATTTTATTTTTTTAAATTTTTTTACTAAGTGAAAAATTAGATTAAAAGTTATATAAAAATTTTTTTAATAGGTAGTTCATGAAATACCTGAACAAAATTTTTTTATATATAAATTTTACTATAATTCTAAAAGTAGAGCACTTTTATTTAAATTTTTTATTAAGTAAAGCTCATCAAGATATATTTAATAGTAATAAAAATATTAAAATTAGCCTAATATTTCTTGAAAAATCTTTAAAAAACTTTTTACTCACATATAAAATTTCTTTAAAAAATTGATTTTTTTAATAAAATTTTATATCAGAAAAGTTTTTAAAGATTTTTAAGAACTACTAGACCAATTTTAATATTCTTATTACTAGTAGAAACATCTTGATAAATTCTACAAGTTTTGTTAAAAGTACAAGAGTGATTTATTTAGTAAGAAAAAAGTTTTAAATAAAAGTGCTCTACTTTTAGGCTAGGCTTATAGTAAAATTTATATAAACTACCTATTAAAAATTTTTTTAAAAAAATTTTTTTATATAATCTTAAATCCAATTTTTTATTTAAAAAAAAACAAAATCAGCAAGACACAAAATATATAGAATTATATACTGAACAAATTTGCTTAAAGATCAAAATAGATTATCTAAATAGAAAATGTTTTCTATAAAAAAACTAAAAATTTTAATATTAGTATATAGAAAACTTTTTTACTAAGATAACCTGTTTGTATATTTAAACTAAAGTTGTTTAGAGTATAATTTTATATATAATTATTACTTTAAAACTATTAAATTTTCTTTTAACAGAGTTATATTTTAAATTATATCAAAATTGCAAAATTTTAATTTAGCTTAA